ACACACACACACACACACACACATAAACACACACACACACACTTACACACTTACGAAAACACACACACAGACATACACATACACACACACTCACGCTCGCGCCTGCGCGTGCGCGCAAACACACGCATACATACACACTCACTCACTCACTGACACACGCACAAGCACCCACATTTGCGATTTGCATAGGACGTATTACGCCACTAATTGTAGCATTGCAAGGAGGGCCTCCGAATTTTAGATACCCCCAATAGAATTTAGTCAAAAGGGAATACCCATGGAAGGTGCAAGGACAAAACTTCAGACCAGGCTGAGCCTGGAACCCCTGAACCCACAATCTCACGATTACGAGTCGCATAGCCTAACCACAAGAATACCGACGACAGATTTTTCATAATAATATGTTAAACAAAGTAAAATGGAGACAACGAGAACAAAGGGTGACATTTGTTGAAAACTAGAGATATACGTTTTGAGAAAAACGAGATTAGCCTGTTGAACTGAAACAAGGTATACATTATACATGTCGTTACATGTCAGTTGAGTCCCTAGTTAGTAATTTACTTGATTTACAATTTAACAAGCTCTGGATCCACATTTGGGTGGCCATGGTTTCATTCGAGAAAATATAAAATATTAACTTATTTTATGAATCAATGGTTTCGAAAAATGTACTTTTAAATGTCTTTAGCTCAACAGTTGCACGGCAGCAGGTCAGATCGTATTGGAAACAACAACTGTTGCTGAAATTCGGGGGTAATTTTGGATGTTTGGGTGTTTGTACAGGTTTCATGGCAATCCAACAAATTAACACGATCTCGTTGAAGATTGAGGTTAAATTCATAGGACCAGCCCGGCTGTCCTCTTAAATAACATTTTCACGTTGAAAGGAGGGGTTAAACCCACGCCATACAACCCAAAGCCCGGGTCAGTGAGGGATGTTTGAACAAATCTCCGCGAGCTCATCCCTCCGGAACATCCCCAGCGGGGCGGGGGTACCCATGCAGTCATTGAACATTCCTTATTGTACAAAATTGCCAATGGCGGTATTTATTGCCGGAGAAACCTAATTTGGGCGTGTAAATCAGTTTCTTTGTGGCATTTTGGCGGTCGGCGATTCAGGCCTGTACAAGGGGGTCAGCGCTTTGTAAAGGGGCGAGAGGCGCTACGTTGGACGTGAATTACGGCTCTCTCCGCCCTGTGCAGGCTGAGACTTTGGGGGCCGCTCAGATCGATACAAGTAATTGATTCCCAGCTGATGGGGTGAAGAAAGGCAGGCGAGTTTCGGGAAGGGGTGAGGGAGGGGGAGGGAGGGGGAAGAGGATGGACAAAAAAGGGGATGGGTGAAAACTGTGTGTATGTGTGTGTGGTGGTGGGTGGGGAGGGGGCGTGTGTGT